GTGATTTTAAGTTGATTTATTTTAGAATAATATTGTATCCTGTCTGTTTTGATTCATATTTATGTTCAAAAAACGTTTAGTTTTAGTCTGTTCAATAAATGTTTATCCTGTTCGGCCCGTGACCTAAAGGGTGCTTTGAGTTTTGGCCCCCTGTACGATTGAGTGTGACACCCCTGCTATAAACCAACAAGTGCTGCCAACTATTGTCTGTTGTTTCAGGAGGTGAACAGCATCATTTAAAAAGAAACTACTTTGAACAATCCAATGAAAAGTGGTACAATGAAGTTATATCGTATGCATAACGTGCAGTTTTCATCTTTATCATAGTTGTAGCTGAATCAGAAATAGCTTTAAAACAGGGGTGTAATTAAGGAATATAACCTCTAAGAGGAGACGCTTCTCCATTGAACAGTAATTCTAATTATATCTGCCAAGAGGCACCAAAAATATCATATCAACAACCTAAAAGAAAAAAAGTAAGATGCCATTAAGCATCCAATAAAAGAAAGGAGTTTCCTTTCACCACACAATGAAGTGTTTTGAAGTGTTATCTTTTGTGAGCATAATAACAAGGACAGTTAGAGGATCTGAGGCTGCCTGATCCATCGGATGAGGAAGGAAGTCGTCTCTACATGGAGTCATCATCACCTAGAGATGGAGTTGGAGGCCTTAAAAGGAGGAGTGTTGCAGCAGGAGAGATAGCTTTTGAGGGCTTCCCTTTGGTTTTCACCTGAGGAGAAGTTCGTGGCTGAAGAAGACCGTTTCAGGCAGAACGCCTGCATTTTGAAATAGTTCCAAATTGTATTAGTTCAATTCACATTACTCTTGTATCTCAGAAACTCCATTTTGTAACCTTTTAACTTCTTTATTAAACTTTTTAAATTTAATTTGGATTATTCTGCTGCTTCCTTCACACACCTCATCCGGGTCCGGGGCTCCCCACCGGGAGTAAGGTAAGAGACCCCTTCCTCTATGTGGTGATTAGGTTCTGGCGTTGCAGTGCTTAGCTCTACTCGGCAGGGGAGCCATTGCAGCTACACACAACCAAAAGATAAAGTGGTATATACGCTGATATAAGGGAACTGACTTGAGACCGGCACTCACTCTGTGAGTTCAGTTTGCCGGGAGGGACTAATAGGAGTCTCACAATTATCTATGATATTCATAGGTGGCCTGGGTGACACACCCCCTCCTCAGTGTGTGACTGAGCTTGTGTCCTTTTGACAATATGTGTGTGTGTGTGTGTGGGTCTTTGTATTAGTTACATTATGAGGCTGGTCCCCACAAGGAAATCACTGGATTTTAGGGTGGAAACATGGCTAAATTTTAGGGCGAGGTTAGGGTTAGGATAAGTGTTAGGGTAGGTGTTAGGTGTTAGGTAAGTAGTGGTTATGGATAAGGTTAGAATAAGTCTACAGGAATTGAATGTAAGTCAGTGTAAAGTCCCCACAAGGAATGAAAACACAACATGTGTGTTTGTGTCATGCATTCATAAACAACAATATACTTAATTAATTTCTAGTTGTATTTTTTAATTCTGATTAGCACAATTTTTACTATGGAGTTATACTACAGTTAAATGGACGTGGCTGTGCTGCTACAGTGACCTCTACTGGAAGGTAGGTAAGACTGCTGAACAGGGGCACCCACTGAGTTTTGCAGAAATCTTTTAACCTGAGTTTGTCAGCAGCCATTGAGAAATGAGGACACTGCTTCCTCATCAATACGTTTTTAATGAGTAGTTGGCAAGTACTTTAGACATCAATATTGTATTTTTTACCACATCAACGTGTTGTCTATGCGTAAACAACATGTAGAGTACGTGCAAACAACGCGTGGCTCCAGGCATAAATTTCACAGGTATTTGGCCTATTTGGCTTTCCATAGGATATCATCCATGTGAATGAGCCTTTACTCGATCTACTTGTAGGCAAAACAAATCATTCATATAATTCTGGCAAAACAAGGCCTTGTTTGTCATTTGTCACATGACGGTTAAGTTAAGCTTTAAAGTGAGGCTCCATTTAGGAACACACCCTCTGCTCAACACAGGTTTCAAATCTTAGTGTCACATGTAATGTCACTACCTTTGACCCACTTTCCTATTAAAGGATTAACATTGTTGAGTACGCGATATTTTAAATCAAGATGCAGTCAGAGATTGATGATTCACTGATTTCACAACCATTTGGAAGTGAGAAAGTAAGAAAACAGTGGAACACAAGCTGATTTAACAGGTTAAAACAGTGAAATAAATTCAGAGCATTTTTAAGCTTATTTACAAAGAGCATTGATACTGGAACAGTTGATCAGCTGATAAATAATTTCCCCCAGTGTCAACAGCGTGACCTCCCTTCACTATCTGAAAATCAAACTCTCTCTCTTTCACACACACACACACACACACAAACTGGTGGGCAGCCAGGCCAGAGTCCAGTGTGTCATGGCAAACAGCCATTGAACACCAGTGAGGCCACAGATCCACTTGTTGGCCCTGTACAGACCCAGGCAGGATGAGATAAACAAATCACCCACTGTCAAATGTGATGTCAGAGTGAATGGACGGGAAAAGGTTTGCTGTGGATACAGTCAGACTGAAAGTGAAGCTTTACAAGAAAAGAACCCTAGCCAATTTTTCCAGGATCATTAGAAAGAATTGTTTTTGGACTGCTCTACACAAATTCCTGACTGGTTTCAGGCTGAGTGGTTGTTAGAGCTACAGCACTGCACAGAGCTGGGATTTTCTCAGAACAAGAGCTGATCTCAAACCCCAAATCTGAGGCTAGACAAAGCAGCTGAGCACCATTAGAGACGAATGCTCTCTTTGTTCACCTCTCTGTTACTGCAGAGATGTCTTGGGAACCCAAAACGGTCTTCCTCTGTGTTTTGACGGCCTACATCACATCGCTGGTCGTGGGTAAGTGGACTGAAAGAAAGTTCTGCTTCTCTATCGCTTTTTTTTTCCCCATATAACAGTTTCAAACATGCACATAGAATTAGCTGAAGGGGAGGAAAAGAAGGACTTGAGCTTTGTTATGATCCTCTGTAAAACTCCTGAGGGAACTATAATACTGTTACTTAACACTGCATGACTACCTGCTGATTACAGAATCATTCAACTCTATTCAGTTTAATAATGAAGAACTACTTTTGTAAATTTGACATGATTTAGAACAATAAAGGATGGCTTTTATGTTTTAAGTAAAAGAGTTATGTAAAAGTACTCTATTACAATACCCAACTTTTAAAAAGTATCATCAGTAAAATGTACTGAAAAGTCAAAAGTGAATGTTTTGATCCTGCAGAACAAGGCCCCCTGTTAGCTGTCTCGTCTAGTAATTATGTGTGCTATGTAACATTTTGTTGTGTCATCATCATCAGCTTTTATTTAATGTTTTATTGTATGATTATGTGAGTGGACATTTAATGATACCCGAGTCACTCGGTCATGAAATATGACCTTTTAATGGAGCAGGTGTGGAGGATAGGCAGAGAGATGATGAATGTGCTGATCTCAATAACACCACGTGGCGAGAGTATCGCCAGTGGAGAGCCAAGCTGCAGGTTCACTACCTGTTGCTGACCAGAAGAAACATGGACTGTGCACAAACGTTCACCCAGGAGTCTCTCACCAACCAATCCTCCCACTTCAACATCTCCCTCCCGACCAAGATCATCATCCATGGATACAGGTGAGGCCATGAAAAAGGTGCTTTCACTGTGCCCATCTAGACCACACTGCACCAGATCCAGCCCAACCACATCAAACATTGATACCTGCCAAACCCAGACTAAATTATCCCAGAGAAACAAAAGACTATTTAAAAGTTTCAGATTTGTGAAACTTTTATTCTGCTTATGAAAGCATAAATACAATTGTTATGAACACCAGGTGATCTAGACCAGGTGGGGCAGGTCTAGATCAAACCTGTCAATTCATACTAGCTTAATTGCGGAAACAACCAAACAAACTAATGATTCTTAGCGTTGTCATCCTTGTTGTCTGTGTGGGCCAACCCCACCCACCCCTCAGAGCCCTGGGCAGTAAGCCATCCTGGGTGAAGGAGCTGGCGCAGTCCCTCCTCAGGGTGCAGGATGTCAACGTGCTGGTGGTGGACTGGGTCTATGGCGCCTCCTTCGCCTACAATCTGGTGGTGGAGAATTACAAGGAGGTGGCTGTGCAGATCTCTGTCCTCATCAACCAGCTGCAGGTGAGACAAACACTAGAGAGTGTCAACCACTATTCACAATTACTGTATATTTCTACATTTCCTCCTGTTGCTTCTGTTGCTACTGGTGCTTTATAAGAACAACCACATTTACACCATTTTGCAGGGTTTGAATTACTACATAAGCAGTTTGTAATATGCCAAATTAATAGTTATATTTGACTGAAAATGTGAAACAAGGAGTAATTAAGGGGTTTTATTTTGCCTTGGCAACCAAACCAAGCCAAACACCTTCATTAGACCAAGTTGTTTGAAATGTTTTTAGGGGAAATGAGTAATTGATTAATCTTATTTTAATGGATTCTTGTATCTTTTCAGTATAGTAACCCACTAGTCCTACTTCTGCTCCTATAACTTTAAATAGTATTAGTAAGGAACACACAGCTACTTCAAGCCAAACACGGGCTCCCACAGTGTCACCAAGGTGCAGGTTTTAGATGTACCATTAAAGCATAATATCCTGTAGAATTACCTTAAATCCGATTCTGCAAAATCTGGGGCCTTTGCTTGTACTGTAATACAGCCAAAATGTAGTTTCACAGATTTCATTAGTTAAGTTGAAGTTTCAAAAGATGCACAACCCCAAATAAAGTAGTTTTTTTTATTCTGGCAAAATATTTGAATAACAGACGTTTTTGGTGAAAAAGCATTGCAGGGTGGGAGTATTGGTGGATCTCTGAGGCTATAGGAAAAGTATAGTTTACATACTGTTATACAGTAGTTGTGTACTATAACCTACAGAGAATGAGAAGTATGCCTCCTCGCAGGTCAACTAGCCCTGCTTCTACCACTACAAACAGCACTGCTGCTCTGAAGTGAGGCAGTCTTTATTTTGCTTTAATAAAACAAACAGTCAACTAATAGCTCCAGAGAAACTGTCTGAGGTGAAAATAAAATTGACTATGTCCGTCTTGTCCAACAGAAGCGTGGATGCAAATTAGAGTCCTGCCATTTCATCGGGATCAGTCTCGGGGCACATGTCGCTGGCTTTGTAGGAACTCTATTTGAGGGGAAGATAGGACGAATCACAGGTGGGTCTGGGTCACCTTTATGTCATCTCTATGGTGCATCAGGGCAGCCTTTTCTGAAGATTGAACCAAAGTTTATTTCAAAACACTACACTTTTATCTGGTTATAGAGTTTTCTTCTGCTGACAAGTAGGACTGAGATCTCAGTCCTGCTACACCTGTGCTCTATGTCATATTAAAGAATCATCCTCCTAGATACAGTCATGGTCGAACATATTGTCACCCCTGCATTTCAGTCAGATAATGCTCCACTTCTTCCAGAAAATTATTGCAATCACAAATTCATTTGTATTCTCATCTTTATTTCTTGTGTTTACATTAGGATTTTTTTTAAATCAGAGAAAAAAATCTTATACATTCCACACAAAACTCCAAAAACAGACTGGACAGAATTACTGACACCCTCAACTTAACATTTGGTATGCTGAAAAAACTTAAAGGAAGGCATTTGGATGTAGTTTTAGGTAGAAGACGTTTCACCTCTCATGCAAGAGGCTTCATCAGTTCTGCCTGAATAGTGGTGAGCAGGAGGTATTTATCCCACTGGGCGGTGTTTCAGTCCTTTGACGGCCAATAATGTCCTCCATCGACTGAGTCATTGGAGTTCCAGTCCTTTGCTGGCCAAGCATGTCATCTAATCGCTGAGTCATTAGGGTCTGGCATCGGTGAGAGTTGTTACCCGTTGACATCTATTGTCCTGGTGTGAATTGGGGTGGAACTGTTTGGGTAGAGATTTCAAAACAGAGTTCTAGATGGATAACAAGTTGTCTTCTGTTTTGACCTGGATGACTGAGAATCTGCACAGACATGTTAACATTTGGAAGCACAACCTTTGGACAGAATAACTAAAATCAATCACTTTCTGTAACCATCAGTGAGTTTCTTACACCTCTGTACTGGAATTTTGGACCAACTCTTCTTTTGCCAGCTGCTCCAGTCTCATTTAAAGGGTTCCTTCTTCCAGCTGCTGTTGTGAGATCTCTGCTCAGGAGCTCTATGGGATTTAGATCTGGACTCATTGCTGGCCACTTCACAACTCTCTAGCTCATTGTGTGAAACCATTTCTGGGGCTGTTTGAAGTCTGCTTTGGGTCATTGTCCTGCTGTAAGACCCATGACCTCTGACAGAGACCCAGCTTTCTGACACTGGACCCTACACTGCACCCCAGAATTCACTGGTAGTCTTCAGACTTCATAATGCCATACACACAGTCAAGACATCCACTGCCCGAAGCAGCAAAGCAACCCCAAGACATCAGTTACCCTCCACCATGTTTGACTGTAGGGACTGTGTTCTTTTCTTTGAAGGCCTCAATTCATTTTCTGAAACAATAGAACAATGTTATTGTTCTGCTGCTGTGTCTACAGAAGAGTCATAACAACATCAGGCCAGACAGTGAAGGTCTCCACAGCCCATGGGTCTCTCAGAGCCTCACACCTGTGAATATGTCAATGTGACCCTGGAAGATGAACAAGACAGCCCCATTGTGATAAGCACCACTCTGAAGCTGTGTGGCGATGCACAGTCCCCCCCCATCCCCAGAACACACCACCCAGCACAATGCACCACTGTTCATTTGTTTACATCAGGTCTTTTTATCTGAGTGGGGAGGCTGGTGGAGTTTGACTGTGAGTGAAATTCACACGAGCTGCAGCTGGAAGGAATTTTATCATAATGGGAACAACATTATTTAAAAAAATATGTGATAGGAGTTCTATCAAAAACAATCACTAAACCATCATTGGACCAAGTATAAGCTTTCTAAAACAATTCCTGCTTGTTACCAGTGGATTTCACCAAATGGTTATAAGATGTTTGTCACAACTAGAAAATGCATAGACACTCTTGAGTACATTTCTGTCTGCTTTCATTTTCATCGCAGGGCAGGTGAAAGACAAGCAGTGTGGGTTAAGATGTCAGTTCTGCAACTGTTTCTGTTGTTTGTGTAAGAATGTGAACAAAAGGATTATTCGTTTATTTATTTCCTCTCCCCTCTTTTCATTCTTTTTTTTAACACTTCCTTTCTCTTCTGGCTGCAGTGCATCTTTCTCTACACAGCTGCTTTTATTCACACAAAACAATGATCAAGCTGTGTTATTTAGGATTGTGACCATGAAACCAAAATCACAACCCACGTTCCTGAAATAAAAATGTTGCTGACGTTCTCATGTTATTGGAAACAGTTGCTTTGACTCTGTATGCAAACATAAAAGCTGCTATTTGTGTTAAGGCCACAGTTCAAGTGTTTGAACATGGAAATATAGAGTAATCTTTATAAAACTACCATTCAGAGTACTGAAGGAATGCTGTGCCTCTCTAACCTTGTCGTCCAGGCCTCGACCCTGCTGGACCCATGTTTAAAAGAGCTGACACCTTTGACCGGCTTGACCCCTCGGATGCTCAGTTTGTCGATGCCATCCACACCGACTCTGATTGTGAGACTACTTTCTCTTAGTTCACTACATTTCAGAGGATAATACTGTTCTTTTCACTCCACTACAATAATTTGACAGCTTCGGTTACTGGTTACATAGAATATACATGTGGATCTGGAATTATTTGTCAATTAATCAACTATTCAAATGACAGAAAATGATTTTGCAACTATTTAAATTATTGTTTCAATCCTTTAATGATTCTTTTCAACAGCTTTTGATCTATGAGGATTTGTGGCTTTTCCTTTCAGTTATTTTAATGATTATCATTTATTTATAATATTTTTGAAGTATGGATGAAGTATGGAAGTATGGGACAAAATGTCGACATTAGGTATGTGTTTCCTCTGCATCAGATTTTGGCATTTCTATCCCTGTCGGCCATGTGGACTTCTTTCTAAATGGAGGGAAAGACCAGACTGGATGTGCCAACTCCAGGTTTGCCTCAAGTAAGTTCAGCACTCAGTGACGCCTAAGAAACGGTGGCTAACAGTAACAGAGCAGCTGCTGCCAAATCCTCTGAAGAACAGCCCGGGCTACGTGCTGTGTCATCATGAATCAAAATATAAATTATACATGATTAGTCTGGCATTTTTAAATAGCTATAATTAGACATTTGATTTCTTTAGTGTGTCTGTGTATTGTCATTTCTTGTCTACTTTCCAGTGTATGGCTACGTCATATGTGACCACATGAGGGCGCTGCACATCTACATGAGCACACTGAATGGCTCGTGCCTTCTGAAGGGGATTCCATGCTTTAGCTATGAGGACTTCCTGAAGGGAAACTGTGTGAACTGTGATACTTTCAAGGGGACTTGTCCAACTATAGGTGGGCAAACATGCAGTTATACATCCAGCTCACATACCTTTAATAAGCTGCTGTTATTTTCTGCACGGATTTCTCTGTCTTAAACATCAAAGGCTGTTATTGAATATTTAGGACAGTAGATACAAGAAAATGCCAGTAGTGGAAAGTAGATTCACTCAAGTACTATAATTAAGAACAGTTTTGAGTAATCTACACTTGAGTATTTTCATGTTCTGCTACTTCATTACATTTTAGAGACAAATATTCAACGTTATACTCCACTACATTTATCTGAAAACTTCATTTATTTATCTGAAATTCACAAGCTACTCAAATGTACTTCAAATTATTAAGTATCTCAGGAAGTTAAAATTCACTCAGTTTTTACCAGTTGCAACATTAAATGTGATGAACTAGTGCATCAATAATCATAATCCAGTAGTACAGTGTACACACCAGTCCAACGTTTGGACACACTTTCCCATTCAATCCATTGAGAAAGTGTGTCCAGCCTTTGACTGCTAGTGTACATGAATGTATAAAACGTGACTTTCTGCATAATGAGTACTTTTACATTTGGTATTTGAAGTGTATTTTGACGATAATACGTGCGTACTTTTTCTTGAATGTGGGATATTTCTTGTAACAGAGTATTTCTGCACTATAGTATCGCTTCCCTGACTTAAGGAAACAATCTGATTCTACCACCACTGGGAAATACAAGGCCTACTGCTAAAGTTACAGTACTGCTGCTACAATTGTATGTTTAATGTTGGCTACTACTGAGTCTAATACTGCTGCAGCAGTTATACTTCTGCTGTTTTTGTTACTGCTACTGGGTTTCACAGCAGTTTAATCCAAAGTGATTTTTTTAAACTGACAATCTGATTTAATTTGTTTCCTTTCATTATCCATTTGATTTTTAAAACCACAGCTGAGTGAGGCAAAAATGTGCAATGGTACAGACACAAGTACAATCACAGTGATAGATGTAACATCACCAGTAAAAGAATAAAGATAAAAGTGTGTAGCTTGTTTCATTCTCTGCTGAATCTCAGCATCACCAGTAGATATGCTGTGAGGCTCCACGCAGGCTCTCGGCCTGGTCTCGTCACATGGCACTTTTGGCAGCTTCACACAACACACACACATGCAGTGACACAGCTAATGTACATGGGGCCCTTCTGATTTTTGATGTACATTGTGACCATCACACATCTGATGTGTGTGTGTGTGTGTGTGTGTGTTTCAGGTTTATCAGGGTGCAGTGGGATAACCATTTCTCCAGTTCCTAAAGAGCAGAAGTTGTTTCTTCTCACCACCTCATCGGCACCTTTCTGTGGTGAGTGTTGGTGTGTGTACGTGTCTTTCTATGGTTATGTGGACACAATTTAAAAACATTGTTGTGCTTGGAAGAACCATTCCCAGTGTGATCAGTAGCATGGTGGGCTCAATTACGAGCTTAAAGGACCCGTGCTGCAGGTCCTTGTTTGAATCCTGTCCAGTTTTAGTACATAGAGTTTCTACTGTTAAGGTGGAAGGTTTGCACTGAAGTGCATACAATTATACAGGTGTACCTAACAAAGTGGCTGGTGAGTGTATGTCTTCATATGCTGGTTTTAGCCACACTTATAGGGGCTGTGCCTGGACCTCACTGATGGAGAATACATTACCTTCCATAATTCATCCACAGCCAGGCCTTTATGGAACAAAGCATGACTTCATATTCCTTTGCTGAGGCACTGTACGTATATTCAACCCAAGATTGTGTAGTTTCCTGCAGCTTGAATGAACAACAACAACAAATTAATCGCTGCTTATTCTGAAATAATATGTCGGGATGTCAATAGAGACATCCACTTTCTTTAATTGTGACAGACATCCAGGTGTAATGAAACCTTTGATAGATGTTTATTTCCCACATGGTTGCTGTGCCCCTGCTCAGCTCATCACATCCTACTGCAGCTGGAGGTGTCTCCACTGCATAAAAGCGCTGAGGTGGAGGTGACACTGAGAACTGAGAACCTGGGAACAAAGCAGAGGCTCAAGCTGTGAGTACTACATCTCTAACATCACAGTATTGTTTCCTTTTCACTTTTCCATAAGTTTACCCCATCTGAGGACAATAAAAAGGTCTCTCAGGTCTCTCATCATCAAATAACTCTTCAATTAATCAATTAAAAATTTATCAAGTAGTCAACAAAAAATATTTTTAAAGAATCAATTCATTTAATTCATTTCTCAAGCAAAACTGTCAAACATTTTTTGAATCGAGCTTATTTGTGAGAATTTGCTGCTTTTTGTCTCTTTTTAAAAAACAAGACGATCATTTGATTTCCTGTGTTTAGACTTTTAAATATTATAAAAACACAACAAGGATGGAGGATGACAAGGAAAACACAAGTGTGTTGTTTCTAAACTGTCCATGGTTTGTTTATCCTTTGCTCAGAGATGCCCAAAGACTGAATTTGAGATGGTGATAAAGACATGAAAGTCCTTTTATTCTTTAGGGTGACCTCACAGATATCAACACAAACACCCACAAATCTGATATGTAAAATCAAAAGGACCCAGTTAATTAATTTAGCCCACAATCCTTATTCATATCACATAGTGAGTACTGTAAAAGCTTTCTCTTTTTTTCTTCAGAAAAGGTGAGTGGGCATCTTTTATTTCAAGACGATGTTCCAGGTGCAGAACACTGTGGCAGAAGTGCCTGTGCACAGGTTCACTTGAGTTCAGGAGGACTCTTTTTGTCCTGTTTGTTTGTTTGATTACTTTATTGCATCAATGAATGAATAAACAATTTTCTAGTTGCCTACATAGTATGTATAGTTATAGTCCTGTGGTACTACGCTCATACATGTATTTTGCATTTAAAAAGAAAAATGGTGCAAACATGTCAAAGAGATACAAGACCCAACACTTTGAATGTATGGTCCAGTTTGTTCTAACAAGGCTTGGCCAAAAACACAGAAAACGATATTATCTGAAAGAATGCATTTGTCGCATCTTGTGGGGCTATCACAAGATTATTTATGCCGTGTGTAAATATGTGTGAATTTCAGGCAAACAGCCACGACAATGTACAAGGCGGTGTTGGCTCACCCCGTGGCTCTGTGTGAGATCCACTGCATTGAGCTGAAGAACACTGGAGCTTGGTTTTACAGACAGGGAGACATCCACATTAAGTCTGTCTGTCTGTCCGAGTTTCCATCTATCAGGTACAGCACCCTGGATGACACATACACCTGCACATCCTCTCCAGGTAGAGTTTATCCTTCTGTACAGGTCCAGAAATTCCAACAGCTTCTGTTGAGCCACTTTATAAGGATAAAAAATCTACAAGCAGGATATCAGAAACACTTTTTTGTGAGTTCTTGTCTGCAGCGCTGACAAAGTACAGAGAAATATAATGTGTATAATATATAATGTATTATAATATTGTGCAATAGTTATATAATATCTAAGTGTTAATTTAGCAGAAACCAATGTTTTGAACCTTTTCCCCCCTAGTGACCCTGGTACTGCCCCACAGCTCTACTTGTTATTGATGTGCAACCTTATGTTGCCATTTTGAGAAGGGCATTGCATGTGAATATTTGGTTTTCCAAAGCTTAACAACTGATAGTACTGCATAGTTGTGCCTCAACTAAATTGCATCAAATTTAGCAGAGTTGCAGTTCATAACTTTAAGAATAGGTTCAATACAAACAGCGTAAACTCTCATTATTTTAAGGGTGTTTTTCACTCTTTTTTTTTTTTTTTTACAGAGCCAGCTGTATCTGGGTTGTTTTATTAAGCAGAAATACCAAAACCTTTTCTTCATAAAAAATAGACATTTTTAAATCACATTTACAGTGACAGTGTTTGTGTTTCAGGCGAGAGGAGCCGCTTTGTGTCAACAACTTCAACGTCAGACGTAGAGCTCCATGGTCACATGACTTTGTGCAAGTGTGTGGCATCTTCTGAGAAAAGAAAGAAATCTACTTAAGAAGATGCATGTAAGAAATATCAACCAGGTGGTCACCTATATATGCCAACAGGAAGTTAGTTTCACATTTTCACCACCTTGTTTAACATTAGGAAACTGTTTAATCTCAGTGGCTGGAGCCAAAGAACCACATTGTAATCTGGACCCATTGTGCTACTGACTGACAACATGCAGGTTAGTCATACTGTTATTTAGCTACTCCACTGATATTCTAACATCATGACTGCCACAATTATGAAACCATGAAAAAATAAACAAAAGTTTTTCTTTGCCTCTTAGCTCTGAAAAGTGTTTCTAATGACCTGGCCTTACACTCGGGATCTACTGTAACTTTGAGATGAAAATCTGTTCCAGGAAACCACACTCTGTTCTATTTTTAGTGATTTAGCAATAAGCAGAGACATCCCTGTTAATGTTTGTATGGTAAATCATTTTTCATAGTGCAGAGTGTCTTGTCATCAAAGTACCGGTAGCTGAGCTCCTCCTAGCTAGTAACAAATACAAACACACTTTTGTATCTGTGCAATGTGACACAAAACACTCTTGATACATTGATAGGCCACAAAAAAATGAAAGGCCCACTGATTCATCACAGCACAAAAGTTAAAATGTCTTTATTTCGATGTGCAGTCAGTGTGTGGTGGTCTTGTTTGTCATGTCACCGTTATGATAAATGCTTTTTAACTTTTGTACCTTAACAACACAAAGTGCTTTGATTTGCTCAAGTGGTCATATGAAGTACACAGTTCACCGCACACAACAAGCTTCATGGAGAATGTTTGCCCCCCTGAGAATAATTCTTCATTTTAATCCCATCTCTTTATTTTAGAAGTGACTAACAGACAAATAAGGAAATTCACAGTATACAAATGTGTAGTAAATACTCCATTAGATACAAATATTAAAAAACATGGTCTACAGGCATCCCATATTTTACTAAAGAAGAAGTTGTCCTTCAGATAAAACTTGGCATCATGCTGTGACAATCAGTACAACAAGCTCACCTGTAGAAAATAAACACTTCTGACACTGGACCAAGCCGTGGTGCAGTGACATAAATAAACTAAACAAACAAAACATGACAGTGAAATGGAGAAAATCTGTGCTGCTAACGTGTAGGCTTTGTCATGAAAATGTACCTACACTGGAGTGGAGACAAAGGAACGATACATAACTAAATTTGGGTATGATGCTTATCTCCTCCTTGTACGCAGTCATACAACACATCAGTTGACACACTGTGATTTTTTTTAATCAGGTCTAGAGTTAAATGTGTGTAGTTAGTGTAGTTCTCTGTGTAACACTAAGTGTAAATGATTTGTGAATCAATTTTTGACATCAAATCATGTGAGGTTCAACTCAAACATCAAATATTAGATGAAAACCATGTTTGTTTGTTTCACTAACAAAGAATCACTTATTAACATTTTTGTAACACTTAATAAGGCAGCAAGACAAAACGTGTACATTTTTGGCATTCATTTGTTTGATATAAAGTTGATACAGTGATAAGTATAAGCCCACTGTTACAAAATATCAACACTACCTTTCACATCTTATAAACTGTGATTTACATGGAGTCAGGGTCCGTATGGTCAGGGCTGAAGAGGAGGATATGTGACACGTTCATACTGTAAATACTGCAGAATTTCCAGGAGAAACTGCTCTCACAGTTTGGGTGTGTCAGTGGGAGCCAGCGGCGCTCTGCCCCTCTGGAATCGAGGCAGTACGTTCCCATCACTATCACCTCCTGCAGAGTCGACACCAAAGCTTCAATCAGGAATTGTGGAAGAAGTACTCGGATGTGCTACTTATGTGAAAGTACAGTGGAAATATACTCTGCTACAAGTAGAAGCCATGCATTCAAAATGTTACTTTTCACCCTGCAGTCCAAGCCCTACCCTGGCTACACTGTCCAGCTCTGAAATGTTATCCCTCAGCTGTGATTGGGTGAGGACTGCTTTTAGGGTGAGAGGAGGCCAGGTGGGTGTGAAGAGCGAGGTGAACAGCACCTGACTATCCAGTCAAATAGTATTTCATATTTTACAAACTAACAATATGTGTGGTTACTTTTAAATGCATAAGGCTAAGCAGCCAGAGCAGCAGATCCTCACAAGATAAATAAACAATAAACTGACCAGAACAGCAGAAGTTGGTTCACACATCTGAGAATATCTCACATAGAGCTGATATCATTTTGCAAATAAAAATATAGATAAAATAATATAGTGCTATGTTATGTATTTGCAAAACTGTTTAAAAGATTGTTTAATCTGCTTGACCTTTATAATGGCTTGAACTGTGCACTAGAAATGCCGTGTGTCTGAGTGCAGACTCAGAACAACAGGAAGTGCGCAGATGCAGACTGAGATGACTGGACTGTCTGCAAGAACAGTTATGAGGGTATAAGGTCTTATTGTTTTGGCTTTAGATTATCAACATTATATGAAATGCTTGGCCTTCTATGATGGACATTATAATCTGCATTAGCAAATATATCTACATGATTATCTCAGTATCATATGCTTTATAATTTCCTTTTGTTTTAACCATTTCACTTGTCTTTAAGAATATAGGAGACATGTGAGAATCAGACAGGAAACCACAAACAGGAACAAGGCCAGGTTGCATAGCAACGCTGCCGGTCACAAGAGTAGAAGAGACGTGAGCCAGAGGCACTGTTCCTAAATCTGCAAACAACTAACTGTTTGCAAAGACGTACGTAGGTGTGTAACGTCTGGTTCAGAAGGTCAGGATGTTATTCTCAGAATTTCACAGATCAAAATCTGCCTGGCGACAAGATCACCAAATGAGGGGTCAGAACGAGGTCAACAAACCAACCAAGGAACGAGGATGAAGGACAACACGGATGACGTCAGATCTACTATCATTTGCATATTCATGACTTTGAAAGGTTGTTCTGACTTTGACTCTTCCTCAGAAATGAACATGCAGGACGGTTAAGTCCAACACTGTCCAAGTGTCCAAATTATTTGTTGCAAGCAAACTTATCGGAATGACTTACTGAAGCCTCTGCAGGTACAGCATTTAACAGCTGCTATCTCATATGAGCTTCTGATGAGATCACATGACTGTCATCTTTTTTTAGCACATTTTACTGATCATGATGATGAAGACCACGGGACAGTTCACTTGTACTTGTAAACATGTAACATATTATATTATTTATTATTATTGGGCCATTAATATGTAAGCAGTTGTAGGTGTTTGAGGTGGATCTCATTTTAAATGCTTTATATCTTTATGTATTTGGTAGATAATAATTAATCAAGTTTTATTTTATTAAAATATCATTTTTAAGACGATTATATGCTTTGTATCTTGACTACAGCTGTCAAATAAATATAGTGGGATAAAAAGTACACTGATGGTCTGCCATGTAGTAGAAATACTCACATTATCTCAGTGCCAAATGCTCGAATAAATGTACCTAGTAAACTTTCACCACTGCAACAGCAATATTATCATAAATCTGTGAATCCAAATGTAAAAATATTAACCTGGAATTGGCTCCAGCCCCGCCACCACCCTCTGCAGGACAAGCTGTATAAATAATGGACTGACAGATGGATTAATATGAATGTTATACTGATTTTGGTCCCATTGCCAAGGTTAGTGAGAACTGTGCAGTGTAAGCAATCCATGCACACACACCACCCCAGGCCGCTCTCCACCCAGGTGATCTACTTACATGTATCTTAAGTGGTGACCCAGTGTATTAGCTCCAGTACCCTGCCCTTCTACCTCAAATAATCCCTCTCACTGCCATAATCCATTAATGAGCCCGCCACATCAGCAAAGTCCTCCAGGACCAGGCTGGTGGAGTCCTCACCAGAGGGCAGCTCCGGGTCTGACATCCAGGGGGGCTCATAACGGTCATGCCGGGGGGGCTGGGGCTCATCCAGGGGGATCTTCCTCGGTCCCTGCAGATATGGCTTCTCATAGGCCAGAGCTTGGTCTTCATGCTGCTGTTCAGTTTGTTGAACTTTGGTGAAGCCACTATCACTGCCACCCTCGCTGCCCTGCGAGGAGGGAGCAAGCACATGGTAGAGGCTGGGCAGGCGGATGTCCAGCAGCACGCCACTCTTAATGTAGAGCTTGTTGTTAAGGTTGTAGAGCTTCTCTGCAATGTCATAGCCCAACATGAGAGAGAAGAGGCGAGCAATGTAGCGTTCTTTTGATATCAGCATGTAGAGGCGACGGCGACGCCATGAGACATAGCGAGAGTCTTCTTCCGCTGTCAGAGTCACCTGGGGAGTACAGTAATGACATACCTTTTCTATACCTGGAATAAGTGTTTCTAGCCACCTGATGAATCTAAGTCAAACAGCGCATGTTGCCCCTGTACCTGGAACTTTCCCTCCTCATTTGGTCTGAGAGACTCCCACTCTGGAGAGTCGAGGAACTGGTGGCGATGAATGTAATGAAGGAATTGGCCTTCCAAAGATACATTGATCCTAAAAGACAAAGACAGAAACAAGGTTAAAATATGATAATGAGAACAGAGAGGGTACTTTGCTGATCCACTCTAAGATGTTGGCAGTAAAAAGGAGTATAAATATCTCTGTCAGGGCAGCTGTTGATAGACTGAACTGTATGGAGCTTCAAATATATTGATAAGTTTCTTCTTCTGCTTTTAAGCACATATAAATGATAATTTACTACATCATCATTGTCAACATACTGTACATCAATTACTACATCATCATCATACATTCTTCCTTCAGCAGAAACAATGTCCACAGGCTGAGATAATCCAGCAAACTTCACATTAAGACATCAGTGGATTACATCAAACATTACTGTCAGTTTGTTTGAGCCTTATTTGAGTGTGATTTGAATTGTCATATCAGTGCTGCAAGCAATCTGCTTTGTTTCAGTCACCCAGCATCTGCAGAAAGAAATGTAGCTCTCCTCCCAGAAATAGTTCTTTACAAATCTCTGCCACACTGAAGTCTTTGCCTGCCTCTGTTATCCAGGATAGCAGCTAATGTTTAAAGCAGAACAGGCAGTTACAAAGGATATAGCAATGAAATATAATTTGAAATCTAATTGCCCATAATTCTAAAGTGAAAGTTGAAATCTAAAAGATAGATATAGATTATCATAAATCAGCAGCAAGTCACAATCACATGGTGTTTGCAGTAGTTTAAATCAAGAGAAGTCTTTATTTAGACATCACACAACAATAAGTGTTAATTAACGCTATGGTGCAGTGTATTATGGTAATAAGGTACTTACACTGCCAGCTTTAAAAATTTCCACCTTGGAAGTCCCAAGCAAAAATGTCACTGTACTTGTACTGTAAAATGTGGCATATAGTATGTGGATTATGTTGTGCTGCTATTTTTCTGGTTCAGGCCACTAAGTTCTGTTTTAAGGAAATCTTTATGCTAACACTCTGAAGGAGACCCTTATTAAACTGCTTTAAGAACAAAATTGGACATAAAGGTGAGCATGAATGGTTTCAGGTGTGAGTTTGCTTTGAGTTTCACTAGACCGTCTAGTGGCTGAAAATAGGCAGAGTACTGTACATTTAAGCAAAAGATAAAAGTAAAAACCTTTCGTCCCTACCTAAAATGTAATGAAAATTATTTATCAAACTTGTTTTGACCTAAAAATGCTCTTAAAATTAGGAGAGATACAGAGGTCTGTAAAGTTGGTTCAGAGTGGCTGCAGTACAGAAACAGGTTCGAGCATGTTGCTGTTTTCTGTGATAGCAGTCAGTGACGTGCGCTCAGGTGAGGCAGGTGAGGCAGAGCCTCCCGTCAATCTTAACCATAAAATATAATAAATGTTAATATTTGTCGGCTGGTGTGTGTTGTAGGCCCTTTTGCCGTTCTAATCCGATGTTGAAGGAATTTTTTTCAATA